CACACACACACACACACACACACACACACACACACACACACACACACACGTGTGCGCCCGTACAGATATTTTCCAAGGAGACTGACAAATGGGCCTGGGAGAACCAGGGAGTGGCTCCAGCTGAGTTGACTGGGCTGGTTTCTGATCCCTCTGGTACAAGGGCCTGGGCACGTCACTCTGCCCGAGGCACTCCATACTCAGCAACCTTTGCCTCTCGTCCCTTCTGGACCAGGCTCTGTACTGGGGACACAGGGCTTGACACAGAGCAGGAGGGGTCAGGAGAGACAGCGTGGACAGACAGCCAGGCAGAGAGGTGGATGGTGGATGGGGCGGAGGCCCAGCGAGCAGGGGAGGAAGGTACCTACCCTCACAACCCAGGCCTCATTAAAGAGTTACCACATCCCAGTAAAGGCCCCAGGCAGGGTTTGCGGCATGGACCTTTGGGAAAGATCCCAAACATGAGAGCTGGTTCTGCCCTCAGCCACCTGAAGGATACCGCCTGGCCTCAGTCTTCTCTGTAAGTAGAGCAACTGTTCTTGCCTCTACAGGGTCCAGGCCTCCACGGGGTCCAGGCCTCCACCCACCCAGCGCAGGCTCAGGGACTCTGAGCACACTGCACAGAGTGCACCAGCCCTCACCCCTGTGTGCCTGGAGCTCTGGCTAAAGGAACAAGCTTGGAGGGTGCTGGCCCTGCCCAGAAGCCCATCCGCCTGTCCACCACCAGCACCTACTTGGCATAGGCCTTCTCCACCAGGGCACACCAGAACTCGTTGCGGGAGTTGGAGTGGCAGTAGATGAGCTGGTTGTTGACCGTGGGCAGCCGGTCGTCGATGACCACGTCCATCCACTCCCCGAAGCGCCAGAAGTGGAAGTGGAAGATGCCCGCATAGGCGTCGGGCTTCTCGGGGTCCCACTCCTGCTCCTTCCAGTCTGGGATGACCTAGGTGGGGACAGGATAGGGACATGGTGAAGGGCATGTGTGGCCTCCCAAGGAAATGGGGTGCGTGCCTCCAGGGAGTCAGAACAAACGAGAATGCTGGGTTCAAGTCCTGCCCCGGCCGTCAACTGTATGAGATTTGAGCCAATCCCTCTCAACTCCGGGCCTCAGGCTCCCCAGCTCTGCAAGATTGGAGGTGCCCTCAGGTTCCTTCCAGCTGTGTCGCTGGAAGATTCTATGAGCTTCCCCCTCCCTTCCTCAAGCTTCCCTGCACCCTCCCCCTATGGACATCTATCTATCTGTATCACCAGTTCCTGGCCGCCGGCACTACCACCCACCTGTCCCTCCCACACCGGCAGCTGGCAGCCATGCTGTCTCCTTGTCCCCTCTCCAACCATTCTGGCCCATCTGAGATCCTACATGTTCCTGAAATTTGTCCCCTCCTCTTCCTCCCACTGGCACCACCCTGGCCCCATCCGCCTTCTCCTCACCCAGACATGGCAATCACATCCACAGCTCCATTTGCCCTTGCACTACACGACAGCAGACCAACCTGATCCTGTCACTCCTCTGACCCAGACTCTTGCTGTGCTCCCCAGGCCTCATGTCTCTACCTCTCCCCACTGCAGCTCCCACCCCTGCTCTAGGAACTGCACACCTGCTCTTCCTCCTCCTCCTCTTCACCCAGCTGACTTCTATTCATCCTCTAGTGTCCACCCTCCTCCTCCATTCCTGGACTTTTCCCCTGACTTTTCAGACTAGGCCAGGACCCCTATCCATCAGCTAGGATTTGAACCCATGTCTGCCTGCCTCCAAAGAATGAGCTCATGAGCACGGTGGGCCACTCTCTGCCCAGCCCCATGCCGGACTCTGAGAACTTGGACAGATCCCATAGTCCTGCCCTCAAGAGGCTCCCCATCTGGTGAGAGAGGCAGCTAACACAGGGCACATGCAGGACTTTGAGAGAAGAGAGCGGCAGGCCCTACCCTGGAGGGCAGCCCCAGCGTCTCCCAAGCAGATGACAACAGACAGAGGCTGCCTGAGCAGCAGGTGGATAGAGATGGGAGAAGCCCTCACCCTGCCAGGCCCGGATGGGTGACCTGCGAACCTGCTGTATACGGGGCCCGAGTAGAGCTGAGCCCCATCGGGATCACAAACAGTTCCCTCTAGCAGCAAACCATCCCAGATGTAGAGGCAGGCACCTGGGCTGAGGGCCAGAGATGCACTAGGAGGCCCAAGTGGAGCATGCAGAAGCCAGCTAGAGAACTCCCTGCCCCCACTCATTAGGGACACTTTTGTTTATGCCTCTCCAATAGGACACTGGCAAAGAGAAATAAGTGCTGCTCCCCAGTGGGAGGGTGGAGGCCAAAGAGATTAAAATGTCAACTACAGGAAGAGGCACCGCTGCCCTGGTGGCCCTGCTAGAGCCAGGTGCAGGGCCAGCTGCTGACAGCATTGCCCCAAAGCCTCACAAGCTTTGGGGAAAAACTACGGGGTGGGGGTCGCTGGTGGATGGCCGCCCACGGGCACAGGATGGGAGGCGGGAGCCCAACCCAGGGCTTCCCAGCCAAGCACAGCAGCTGGAACCCAGTAAAGGCTCAGTACTGGGGGGTTCCTCGCCCCACCCCTCACCACCTTCTCAGTCAACTCTGTCCTTTCTGAGTAAAAACGCCCAGGCCTGACTCTGCCCTGACTCCTAGCACTGTCGCTCCACTTTGCTTTCAGGACAGAACGCTGTGTCAGAAATGGGCTACGTGCAGGTGAGGGTCACCAGCCCCACTTCAGAGATGGGAAGGTTGAGGTCCAGGGAGAAGCGGGACGCAGCCCGAGGGCACAGAGCAACCGGGAGTCCTAAGCTGAGAAAGGGCCTGGCCCACGGCCTCTGCCACCTCCTCCCCCTCCCGCCCTGCTCTGAATGCTCTGGTCTGTGTGGGAGGGAGGAGAAGCAAGGTGCCAGGAGGTGCCGCTGGGACTGCGAGAGGATCATTAGTCAAACTCGGGGCTTGGCCCTGAGCCCTCTGTGGCTCGACAAGCAGCTAAGGAGGCTGCAGGGCCCGGAGAGTCAGTCAGGGATCCCTGAGGGCCTCAAGTTCCCCTACCACATCACAGCCATCGCATCACAGCCATCGGACCGAGCACAAGGCGGGCCCCAGGCCAGCTTCCTCGTCTGGCAGCCCCTCTGCTGCCAGTGGGGGTGCTGAGTGGGAGGGAGACATCCAGACTATTGTCACATGTGTGCACATACACTAACCCCCCCACACACACACCACACCCGGCCACATTGGAAGTCAAGGAAGCCCACCACAGACCCCTGGGGGCCAAGTTAAAGGATTCAGGAACCAACCTGAAGAGATGCCCACTGGCCAAAGATGGGTCAATCTGAGCCTCAGTAAGGATCGTAACTACAGTGGGTTAAAACACAGGAACTATGTCCAAGTTCATGAGCTCAGAATGATACTTACAAAAGCAAATCATCAGTCACTATATATATATATATATATATAGGAAGGAAGGGCATCAAATCATCTTTTTTTTTTAACTGGAAAATTAAGGAAAAGAATCAAGCACTTATCCGGCCTTTGAATACAAATTGTATGAGGCTAACCAAATAGCAGGAGAAAAGAAGTTGTTATCTGGGAAAGAATTCCAGCTAATAAATGAGGAAGAAATGATAACATTAGACCATGGTCATTTTGTAACCACTGAAGAATTTGTGGATTTAGGCCATGGTCACCAATGGCTTCTACCATCACAAAAAAGAGAGACAAAATGTGGTACATATACATGATGGAGTATTAAGTAGCCATAAAGAAGAACAAAATCATGGAATTCGCAGCAAACTAAATGGAGTTGGAAACCATCATACTTAGTGATCTTTCACAGAAACAAAGAACTGAATACCAAATGTTCTCACTCATAAATGGGACCTGAACATTAATCACGATAGCACAAGGGAGAAATTGGGAGTTGAAGGACACTGCCAGGGGAGGGGGACACATAGCATCGCAAAGGGTACTGGATCCTCAACCAGGGAAAGTGAGGGCCGGCTGGAGGTCCAAACTTCACCTGCATGAAGCCTGCTTGTGTAACTAATCCTGACTTGTACCTCACATATGTATGATTAAAAAAAAAAGAGAGAGAGAGAGAGACAACTAACTATCACACACCTCCTGAATGAAAAACACGACATCTCCCAGGAAGCAGTCATGCCAAAAAATAATTTGTACCTGAACCTTATCAAGCCTCTGGAGCTAAGTCCCAGCTTATAGGAAATGCAGGGGACAGAAAACATGCCCAATGCCACCACGAGGATGCGGTCTACAAAATCCAGACCATAGGAAATCCCACAGGACAAATACAGCCCAGTGTCCTCAATAAGGAATCAACCCATTGCAGTTATGCACTTCTGTTTGGATCTCATTAAAACAAACACTGTAAAACATATGCATATTCACAGTACAAACTGAAAATCAGAATATTTATTATGTATTTGATGATATTAAGGAACTACTTCAAAATATTTCAGCTGTGTGTTGGTACAGGGGTTATTATTTTGCTGAGTCCTTATCTTCTGGAGATGCATCCAGAAATATTTACAGATACGATATGTTACCTGGGGAGAGAGAAGGGGAGTGTCGATCTGCCATGAGCTGGTAACTGTCAACAGCAAGACGAGGGAGTTCGTAAGGCTGTGCTGTCTACCCTCATACTGTCTGCAGTAGAATTTTCCCATTACCAGGGACATTAGTAGCCTGGCTAAGCCGGGCTCGGTAGCTCAGCCTGTAATCCCGCGCTTTGGGAGGCTGAGGTGAGTGGATTGTCTGCGCCCGCGTGTTTGAGACCCACCCGGGCAACTTAGCAAGACCTCATCTCTACAATAAATCAAAAAATTAGCCGGGCGTGGCAGCGCGCGCCTGTAGTTCCAGCTACTTAGAAGACTGGGGCGGAAGGATCG